CCAAAAAGTTCTTTTTTCATGAAAAACTACCATTAAAAAAAAAAAAAAAAAAAAAATCAAAATGTTTTTGAATGAACAGAACAGTGATATTGTGAAATATCATTTCATTTAAAACAAGGTTTTCTATTTGAATACATTTGAAAATGTAATTTATTCCTGTGATTGGAAAACTGAATTTTGACCAGCCATTACTCCAGTCTTCAGTGTCACATGATCTTAAAGAAATCGTTCAATCGTTCAATCAATCAATCAAATATATATACACACACACACACAGATTTGCTTTTGTGAATTGTGGGGACATTCCATAGGCGCAAAGGTTTTTATACTGTACAAACTGTATGTGCTATTGCCCTAAACCTAACCCTACCCCTTACAGGAAACTTAGTGCATTTTTACTTTCTAAAAAAAACTCATTCTGTATGATTTATAAGCATTTTGAAAAATGGGAACATGGGGTAATGTCCTCATAAGTCACCTTCTCCTTGTAATACCTATGTCATACCCATGTCATTATACAAATTTGTGTCCTCATATGTCACAAAACGCGCACACACACACACACACACACATTTATATAACGCTTTTCATCCAAAGCATTTGCAATCCTATCGAGGGCCTCTCCTCACCACCATCATAAACACAGCCTTCTTTTAAACAAAATTTTGACATACAAATGGTGACTTTCTGCCACAGGTTTTAGTGTTTGTATATTTTGCCAATAATAATAATAATAATAACAACTCACCTCAATTTCCAAAGATACAAAGATTTATCAAAGATACAAAGATTTCTTTTAAAAAGTTGCATTCAAAATGCTCTTCTGAAACATCAGAGGTAGCACACTGTCTCCTCAGTCTGCATGGACAAGATGTTTCAGAGAGCATCTTGTTCTTTACCTGGACTCCCAGGATGCCAAAGATGATGAAAAAAGCACAGCAGATGAGAACTATGTTTCCTATAGGCTTCAGAGAGGTGATCAAAGTCTCCACAACCAGTTTGAGGCCAGGAGCTCGACTGATAACCCTGTCAGAAGGGAGAAAAAAAAAGCATTTAGCAGAGTTATAAACCAAGCATATGTTGGTCAATGCCACATGAATGCTTGCATTTTTTTAGATGTACCTGAGGGGGCGCAGTGTGCGCAGAAGCCTGAGGACCCTGAGCACCCCCAGGATCTTAGCCCCGCCCGCCATCGACACGACAATGTCAATCAAAGACACAAACACCAGGAAACCATCCAAAATGTTCCAACTGCTGCGCAAGTACGCCTGCTCTCCAAGATACAAACCCATAGACACCACCTACAATAAACAAAGAAACAACGTCTCAAATGGACAGCATAAAAACTTCAAGCAGTTCTGTAATGTATATCTTCATTGTTCTGGTGTAATACTGCATAGACTTTGTTCGTTTTATGTAGCACTGACTTCTGGTCCTCTAATCTGATTTTGAATTTCATTCCGGTCTCTTCTAGTGTGATTTTGCTTACATATCTTTGCTGGAATTGATCGAAACATTTACTGAAGTGGAGAAACAGACAGCAAAGTCAGAGTTTGTGATCTCCAGGCAAGCCAAGCCAAGCCAAGACTTCTAATTATAGCCCTAAAATAGTGCATCCTGTAGAGCTGATTTTACAACTCAACTGAGCTCTGCACAATTTACATCTAACATCTACCATTTTGTCAGCGGTGAGATGCAGATGTACTTAAGGGAGCTGCTGAAGGCTGAGAGATATGACTTGGAGATTTAAAAAACATTGTAACTTGTAGAAAAACAGCAAAGAATCCATTGAAGCTCCAAGGTGACCTGAGCCTTAGGCCTCCCAGGCAGGTTGTTGTGACACTAACAAGACGAGTGACAGGAAAGAAACAGTACGCGCACACACTCGATCTGACGTCAGCATTTGCTAAGGTCTAAAGAGTGAGAAGAGCAAAGAGTAGACAGAGAGAATTATGTACTTTTAAGAAATGAGATGCCGTACTGCGACACATATCTGTTCTTTCTTGGGATCAATTTGGCCTGTATTAGTCTGACAGTTTCTTTACAATACTGCCAAAAAAAGCCAATAATAAATCAGTGATGCATACCAGGCTAGTACAGTAATGTGACACTCACGCTAGCAATTTAAGAAGGTGCTTTTTGAGTGAGAGCAGATCTGCTTGCAGAACTCCTATTAGTCGAGTGTAGGTGGGCTGGGGACAGTAAAATCAGCCGCTGCCCCTCAGGGTATGTTATACCGGTAGGTATATTTTTGCTGTAGCTTGCAGAATCTGCCTCCCCAAGGATAAACTGTAATTGTTGACTTTCTGGTCCTCGAAGGAAAGGTGGAATCATTGTTTGACTTGTGTCTCCCACTGCACCAGTGCTTTTAAAAATGTCCACAGTAAAGGAGACGTTCTGCATCATCTTATATTAACTGCGTATAGGCAGTTGACAAGACATTTTAAACAGCAACAAATGTATGAAAAACATCTAAAAAATATATATTCTTGTAACATTATTATACAGAGACAAAAAAAAAAAAGTATTATTATAAAATATATAAAATAATTACATTTAAAAAAGGATAATATCCACGGCCCTACATAGGACAAGCAGTTTGGAATTGGTGGATGAAAAATAAAAATATAGAAATACATTTAAATAAAATAAAACATGCTTGTAACTCTACTTACATAAGACAAGCAGTTTGGAAAATGGATGAATGGATGGATGGAAAATAATAAAATATATAATAAAAATAAATAAAATAAAATATAAACAATAAAATACAAACAATAAAAAATAAATACAACCAATAAAAAAAATCATAAAATCATAAAATAAAATAAAATCATACAAATTCACTTACACACAACGGTCTGGTATAGTCCTACTATGTAATGCAGCGTTGCTTTTGACAGGTCTATTTCTTGTTTGTTCCATTTCCCAATAATTGATTAAGTTACATAACTGATGACCTACAAGTGCCATGCGTTTCCAGCTGAATAGATGGGCCAGTCTGTGAGATTGACTGCATCTGAAAGGGGAAACTGGCTCTAATTAATATCATTGCTTAATTGCTTGCCACAAGAGAGCCAGCCAGCAAACGCAATACCCCACTCTCAAAAGGTCCAGAGGAGAAAGTGTGTGTGAAAATGAGTGACAAAGAGCGAAAGGAAGATGATGAAATGAGAGATGGATTAGAGATACACACACACTGTTTCATCTACTGGAAAATATTTAGCTAATTACCCATTCAAACGACCAGAGTCTTTAACAATGTCTCCAATGAATCTGAATGTGTGCAATTTTGTTCAATATCTATCAAAATATAATATAATGATGCATTATGTAATATTCTTTCATACATAAAACTGAAAGATTTGGGATTTTTAAAAAAACTGTAACATTTCACACTATTTCTAGGTCACTGATCAAATATGCAAATTTGACTCTGTACAGTACTACTGTACAGTATGTTGCTGTAGTTTCCAATGAAGCACAAGAAGTACTTTGGAATATCTCAAATTATGCTGGAGAACATGATTGGTTAGGTTAAAAAAAAAACCTTTTGTGCAACTATCGCTAAAGCAAAATACGGACGGGCGAATCAAATATTAAGACATTATGAAATGTATATTCATTTTTACTGAAACGTTTCATTCAAATTTTTATGCTGATAATATAATTTGTAATGGAAAAATGGCATTGAAATAGAAAGATGCAAAATAGAACCATTTTCACTGGTGTTTTCTGTACCCCACTGTATGTTATACGCATAACTAAATGGATTATATTATACTCAAACCATTAAAACATGCAAGAAAAAAGAAAATAAAGTAGTAGGTATATTCACAGTATCTGCAATTGCTGTGAATACAATTACCATATTGATAATTTTCTCTTTATATACCAACACAGATCAGAGGCATGTCAGCACATACAGGAAGGAAAAAAATATATATACATGGGAGTCCTGAAATCAGCACAATATATCATGCTGTGAATGTAAATATTTACCTTGAGTGTCATCTCCCCCACAAATATGGCTGTGAAAATGTAATTGGACACGGTGAGGAAAAGCCTCTCCTGCAGAAAGAGGAGGAGGGAGAGAAAAAAAGAGAGCAAAATTGTGGAAAAAAGCTGGAATTTTGTCAGTGCTGTGAGAATATCTGCTTGTGGACAACATGGAAATCATCAATAACTAAAATAGGTTAAAAAAAACTGAATCAAAGGTCCATTGGCCTCAGTCTTACCAGGCTACCCTGAAGGATCTTGGGTCTCTCCAGAGCCACAGTGATGCAGTTTGAGAAGATGAAGACCAGCACCACATAGTCAAACAGCTTATGGGCAATAATGGACTGGCACAACAACCTGAACCTAAAGAGGAAGGAGGAGGTCAGGAATAGAGAAACTGTATATAGAGACCAACTAAAGTAGAAGTACATAGCTTTGTTCCAAAACCAAGTGAGCTGCCTTGCTGCCTACATAGAAAGCATCCAAACCATCATGAAATCTCACAATTGAATAGATTTAGAACATTCTACATAGGCATCAAGGGTGTGGTTTTTGATGTTAAAGGGGTCATATGATGCAATTTCAAATTTTCCTTTCTGTTACAAAATGTGTTACAAGCTGTTCGTGAATAGATAAGATCCATAAAGTTGCAAAGACTAAAGTCTCAAACCCAAAGAGATATTCTTTATAAAAGTTAAGACTTGTCCACGCTCTCCTAAAACACCTCGTTCTAACACACCCCCACATGTCTATCGATGAGCTTTGTAAAAATCGACGCGTTTCAGAAAGGCGGGGCATAGATGAGAAACAATAATGTACAGTATGTGGAAAATAATGTGTTTTTTTTAACCTTAAACCGCATAAACACATTTCATTACACCAAATACACAAAATAATGTTCTTTTTAGGAACATCATATGACCCCTTTAAAATGTTGTTAACAGCACAGTACTAAGCAATAAGCACAAATGTAAAACATTTTGGGTAAAATATTAATATTGAAATTTCCCTGAATGGATTAATCAGTACACCTCAGTACTAAATGTAAGACAGACCTTGGTATATAAAATACTTTTCCAAAGCATATTATGCTCACCAAGGCTGCATTTATTTGATGAAAATACAGAAAAAAACAGTATTATTCCAAAATATTATTATAATTTAAATTACCTGTTTTCTATGTATTTGTTTTAATTCTATTTTTCTTTCTGTGATGCAAAGCTGAATTTTCAGCATCATTACTCCAGTCTTCAGTGTCACATGATCCTTCAGAAATCATTCAGATATACTGATTTGATGCTCAAGAAGTAACACTTCTTATTATAACTGCTGAAAATAGTATAGTTGAAAATGGTAATAAATTATGGAATCTGCAATATAATGTTTTTCTCTAGATTTTTTGATGACCAGTCTCTTCTGCTCACCAAGGCTGCATTTATTTGATGAAAATACAGAAAAAAACAGTATTATTCCAAAATATTATTATAATTTAAATTACCTGTTTTCTATGTATTTGTTTTAATTCTATTTTTCTTTCTGTGATGCAAAGCTGAATTTTCAGCATCATTACTCCAGTCTTCAGTGTCACATGATCCTTCAGAAATCATTCAAATATACTGATTTGATGCTCAAGAAGTAACACTTCTTATTATAACTGCTGAAAATAGTATAGTTGAAAATGATAATAAATTATGGAATCTGCAATATAATGTTTTTCTCTAGATTTTTTGATGACCAGAAAGTTTGAAAAACAGTCTTTATTTGAAATAGAAATCTTTTGTAAAATAATTAATGACTAACTGTTGCCTAGCTGAAATAAAGAATCGACTACTTTCAATCAATCAACCAATCAATTAATCAATCAATAATAAAATCTTACTACCCCTAAACTTTTGAACAGTAGTATATGAGTGTCACTTCATCTGTCATCTTGGATTTGTTTTTTTTCATAGAGCTTGTCACAACACATTCTGGCAGCTCACTAGTTTTTGGAACAGTCAAGTATCTCAATCTTTCCACTGCAGTCCAAACTTTAGCTGGATATTCAAAGACTAGACAGTTTGGAAAAAAAACAGACTGACAGACAGGGTGGGAATAATCGGCTCCTATCTCGCTGACACGGATCGATATCCTAATCAAGCCACCCTCTAAAGAGCTGACAGCCCATCAGTGCTATTGATCAGGCAGGGAGAAGAAGAGATGTGGGGGCATCTTTCCCTCCGTGTTATTCAGAGATCAAATCAGTGGCACTATAGGAAACAACCTGTGACACAAGCTTGCCTTTATCTGCTTAATTTCAACCTGCTCTTGGGCGTGGAGCAACTACTAATCTGTTTTGTGCTAGAATGAGGTCAGACTTCCAGCTGCACTCTCAAATTTAGCTTAGACTGACAACATTTGACTCTTACGGTATCTGACAAAACCCATGAGTCGTTTTTAAAGTGTAAAAGGAACAGGACGGTGGCATGATTGCCAGCAGGTTTTGCTTACGATGAGGCCGTGTGAGACACAGCAGCACAAGTGCAAAAGCATTACTGTAGACCAGGTTTTCACGAACGTTTTTTCAGCCAAAGCCGTATGACCTAAAATATGTATTTACTTCAAGTACCCACTGAGATTTTAAGTTATTTCAATAATTTAACAACAATTAGTATGTTAACAGTTCTATGATGTCAGTTAGTGGTCACATTACATGCAGGTAAAACGTGTTAAATTTGTATCATTGAGAAACAATTATAGTTTTTATTTAGCTATAGATTTCTTATAATAACCCTTAAACAAATATTTTTATAAATATTTTTTTTTCAAAACATTTTTAGTTTTTTTTAATTGTTTAAAAAAAGAAGTAGTAGTATTTATTTACTTTAATGTTACACAATGTATAATTTCATTATTTATAAGCCTTTTCATCAATACAAAAACCCTTTTGGAAAACCCTGCCATAGGTGATTATTGTAAATATTGCACTCTCTTTTTCATGGCATCTACAAAATTGCATTTATTTATTATTAGTGACAAGTTTTGCTGCAAAGTCTCATTGACCACATAAAAGTTAAATGCCATTTGATTGGCTGTGAACATAATCACCCAAAGGTCGATCACACATGGCAGCTAAGAAACCAAAACTATGTGCCTGTTTTTCTGCTTTTTTCTCGTTGAAAATGAACTGAGAACTCACAGTTAGCATATAACATGTAAAACTATAGATAAATTGTGTCTAAACAAAGGTCAATAGATCAAACCGCTTCCATCAGCTCTTATGAAGTATATTCATGACTGTTATGTATTGACACAGATGAGGCAGTGAAGGGACTAACTTGTTTTGGGGAGAGAAGAGGAAGACGGACCAGTCTTCCCTGGTCTCACACCAGTCTGGTCTGTACACCTCTATCATCTTCTGCATCCGGAAACATAGACTCTGCCGACAGAAAAAGATGTATTTGGTTGGCAAAAATGAGCACTAAGAATAATTCTGCAGTATTCAGGGAGGGAGAACTTTCTTGGAAACACGTTTGATAATTGAAGCAGTTATGAAACGGAGCTTTCCAATGTTTCAGGTCCCCTTGGAGCTGCCATGTTACTCTTAATTGCTTACAAAACAAGAGAGTCTGGCTGTAAAAAACAAGAGTCTGGCTGTAAATTAAAAACTGAAATCCTACTGCCATCTGTTAGCATTCCTCCTCAACAGATAATAATTGGGCGATTTTCATTGTGTAGTTGATTGTATGTGCAGTTGGCTCTGCTTCAAGAAGATTTACAATGTGTGCAAACGCTGTTTTACAGGAGCCAATCTAACTTAAGATAATCCACAAAAATTACCATTTAAAAGACAATTCTCATTTTCATCAAAACCAATTTGGTTCCAACATTTGAATCTCTTTCTTCCATGGAACACCACTTTCTAAAGCTCCATAAATGACAGAAGTCTTCTGAAGCCATATTCTACTGTTAAAAAAGTTTGGGGTCGGGTAAGACTTCTTTGTTAATGTTTTTGAAAGAAGTCTCTTATGCTCACCAAGGCTAAATTTATTTGGTCAAAAATACAGTCAAACACATTTATTGCATCCTTGCTGAATTGAACTATGGCTCAAATATAATATTTAATCATGATGTGAGATGCATTGTGCCAGGTTTGATAGCAATCACACCAAATGTCAATAGTTGTCATAAGCAATTTCAATGTGCCAGTTTAAATGTGTAAATGAGATTTGAGAGCTATTGCGGGAAGGGATGATCAGTGAATACAGACTTACATTTTGGTCTGTTACTCACCCAAAGCTATAGTATGGATATAGAAGACTTGGAATATGACATGAACTCATATGAACTGCTTTTATGGTGCTTTTTTGTCATTTTTGCCACTCTGCAGCTGCTCAACATTCAGCTAAACATCTACTTTTGATTTCCACAGAAGAAAGTCAGTCATATGAGTTAGAAACACAATTACAGAACAAGTGAACTATCCCTTGAAATCATTTTTAATGGACACTTACATAGTCCAGCTCATCGTCCAGATCCTCCCTGTCCTTGCGTGCATTGACCTGAGGGTAGACCTCATTGATGATTTGTGGTTGGCCTGACGGTGTCTTCCCATTACAGTCCTGGTGCTCTCCAACGCTTCCCAGACCCCCAGAGAAGCTCTTCTTGCTTTGCCGGGGATGCAGAGGAGGCAAGGCCGGTCCAGGCACCTGCAGCAGCTCAGGAAGCTCCAGAGAGAGAGCCCGCCGTTCTCTGCGCGGGACAAAGTGTCTGGAGAGCAGAGGCGGGTGCAGAGGAGGGGGCAGAGGAGACAGCAGGGACTCCTGCTCAGCGGGGTGAGAGTGAGGGCTACGGACCCTTAAACTGCCTCCGCCCCCCATCCCCAGGCATCTGGAGGATCGACCCAAGCTGTTCCAGCTCGACCTGCGACTCCATATTCCTGGCCGCGCGGGCCGTCCCCAGTTGTGGTACAGAGAGGCTCGTCCTGGACACTGAAACACATAGAATGCAAGCTGATAGTCAATATATGAACATGAATTTAAGCACACACCCCTATGTTTTATCCCAAACACACACTACAAGACTGAAATGACTAATTTGCTTTCTAAAAAAATATCTCGGAGTGTATGGTCATTACAGACACTTCTAATGTGCATGGTTGTGAGACAGGTTGTAAGTGCTAGAACAACAGTAATCAAACCGTTTTGGAATCTGGTTGACCTGTCAACAGGTGTGCAGACTGTTCTGAAAGGGTGAGAAAATGAGCAAAAGAGTGCACTTTGGGAAGTGCCATCCATCAAGCCATCAGTTCTTCCATCAAGCTATTTGGAGCATTGCTATGTACTGTACTTCGCTTTTGTGAGGACAAATTTTAGAATCATAACTCCAGATGGTGAGCAAGCCTGCATTTTACAGTTTACACATACACACACACACACACACACACAATAAAAACTAAGAAATTAGAAGGTGAAAAAATGTGCTGAAATAGATGCAAAAAATGCTTATGAATGAATAGATTAAATAATAATAAAAAATTCACTGTAATATAGTGCCGAAAATGAGTTCACCGCTCAGGATTCACTTTCACGTGGTGTGACTCTCTGCGTGTTATCCCGCTCTATGCGTGTGTGTGCTGTTCACACAAAGACTAGACTAAAACTAAAATTAAAACAGGCCGCCAAAAACAACACTACTGTAATATCTTTTTTTTTTTTAGAATCTATCATTAAAAACGATTATATATCCAAAAGTATTTTAAATTAATTGTATTATTAAAATCAAATGACTAAATTACTAAAATTTGCCAAGCATTATTAACATTGTGCTTGTACTTCCCATGGGAAATAGGTGGTAAACACTTTTTATTATAAAACGGACAGTTCTGGTCCTTGATTCTGATGCGTTCGAAGCTGTTGTAAATTACTCTACAAACATACACCTTTGTTTACTTCTGTGTGTTGCTCGGCAACCACTTTGTTGCAACCACAACCGTTTCTGAGGAACTACATTGTTTGGCGGAAGAATAATGTTTGTATTAATATCATTACACTTTATTTGCTCTGTTTTATTTTGTGAAACCTTGCTACATATATGGAATATCTGTGTATATGGAATAAGCAATAAGCCCCTCTAAGCCGTGGTTTACAGTCAATTTATATTATATTAATTTCCGCTTCACGTCATGCCTAACAACGCCCCTTAGCTGTTATAAATTCACTGTAAACCACGGCTTCTTGGGACTTATTGCTTTAGCTGAACACATTCTGTGTTTTTAATTGACGGGTTCAGGTGATTGGATATTATTATATATCAGACAACAGTCTAAATTAATTTTATTTTTTTTAAATTACCATACATTTACATATTAATCAACACTGGCATAATTAATGTTGTGCTTCTACTGTCCACAGGAAGCTGATGGTAAACAAGTTCAGTGGAATGAATACTGTACTGTATTTCAAAGAGATGGGTTCAGGTCCAGGTGTTTGGATTGCAGTGGTGGGATGATGCTGTACCGTAAAGTGTCTCTCATTGCGTTAATCTGCTGCGACCTCCACAACCTAAAACCCAAAACCATCCCACACGATGGTCTAAAGTTTTGGGTGTTACACGATTTATATAATTCCTGGTGAATCTGACTAAAACAACAGACAGCGCATACAAATTATCCACGCTTTCTACTCATTCTTAGCGAATTCCCCCATCACTGTCTAGAACTCTCATAAAAAGCCAACCTCCTCACAAGGGCTGTTATTATTTAAACCATTGTAAAAATAATTATGTAGTTTATAAGTTGCTCTCAGCTCTTCGAGTGCCCGCTCAACGACCCTCTGTGTGTATACTAATATAGTGCAAGCTAGACGAGTAGAGACGGAGCTCTAAGTGCTGAGTAAGTGTCTTATTAATGGTTCGCAAAATGCTAATACATGCAGAGCTGATGGATAATTATTGTGTTCTTTGTGCTTTTTTGAGAGGGTTTGGATTGCTGGAGTGGTATGATATAGCTTCGGTGCCCTCTCGGTGAGTAAGACCCTGTAATGAATGGCAGGTTGACTGCAGCATGCACAATAGCTCACCAGCGCCGTCTGCTCCAGGCTAGCCCTGCCCAGAGAGGTAACGCTGCTCTTGCGGGAACCCAGGGCAAAGCTCAGCCTTTCAGACGGGTACAGGCCCCTGGCGTTGAGTGCAGGTGCCAAATCCAGATGCCCATTAGGGGTCAAAGTGGAAATCTTGGGATCTGCACAAACACACATGCCAAGACTGATTAGATCACAAACACATCAGAAGGACTCAAGCCATGAGAAACACTAACTGGCTTATCGCAAGGCACAATAAGTCAAAAACAATTTGTTTTGTGTTTGTGGTGCGGAATTAAGAAGTACATTCCACTAAGCCTATTAAAGTTTCAAGTTTGCGTGTTTTCTGGAGTTTCCAAAGCCTCCTTCTCATGCCAGGCGACACTGGTGGGAGCGTGTAAGTTTGTCTTCTGTCTGTGGAGAGCGTCAGTGTGTACATGCATTATTCATAACATCATGTCCTTAGATCTCTCAGCGCCATGATTTTTTTCAGTTTTTGACCAGATATTAAACATTTCAATGCATTGCTTTCAGTTACTCATTTTTTAAACGGTTTAGGATATTGCATGATTTTAGCATTTTGTCACAATAACTAGTCTATCTATGGGGTCAGTAAGATTTTGAAACTGTTTTTTAAAGATGTCTCTTATGCTCACCAAGGCAATATTTTTAAAATAAAAAATAAGTACTATTTTGAAAATGATTACAATTTAAAATAGTTGTTTTCTATTTTAAAATGTAAGTTATTCCTGCCATGACAAAGCTGCAGCCATTACTTCAGTCTTCAGTGTCACATGATCCTTTAGAAACACTACTAACATGCTGATTTGGTGCTCAATTAACATTTCGTATTATTAGCAATTTTGAAAACAGTTGTGCTGCTTATAATCTATGATTTTTACATTTATTAATGATTCTTTAATGAAAAATAACAGCATTTATATAACTTTTACATTATAAATGTATTTACTGTCACTTTTGATCAACTTAAGACCTTGATAAAATACAGTATTAATTTCTTATAAAAAAAATCGTAATGACCCCCAAACCCCAAACTTGACACCAAACGATAAATGACTAGCTTTAACTAATTAAAATTATTGGCATAACACATAATTTACATCTGGACTTATCATTGACAAAACCTTCACTAACAAAATTATTTTAAAAAGTCAAAATACAGAAAGGCTTACTTTATGAATGTTAACATGTAGCTGACCATAGCACAGTGTAATGTCATTGTAAAAGACTGTTATTAACCTTTTTTTTCTTTCAGATAATCTGAAAAGGAGCTCAGAACATGAACACAGAGTTTCTGCTTAGAATGAACCAAAAAAGAACAGAACAGAATGTTCAGAAGCAAACGGAAAAACACAGCTGTGCTTTAAGAACACTTCCTTAGTTAGTCCACAGCTCAGTACCTGACAGCTGGAGTGAGTCCTTTTTCTCAGTTTCTTCTAAGTTACAAGAGGATCTGTCATCGTCAGAGTAGGAACGGTTAGCATCACCCTGTCGCAGACAAAAAAAAAACAGGGACACGGTCAAAATGACACAAGATAGCTTGAGTTACATTCACATGGCACAGAGATTTCACTCTCAAAGTCAGTTTGGTTATAGACTGTGCTTTTACTCGTTTATAACCGTAGTGTGTGAACATAACCATACTTAACCACGGGGTAGACAATGTTATTCTAGCGCTGTGTGAGCCAGACAAATAACAGATCAAACTGAGGGACAGAATTTCTTTTGTAAAATAACGTCTCGGGTTACTTATGTAACCATGGTTTCGTGTGAATCATCGGGTGTCAGGAACCGCTGACACGGATGTACACACTTTCTAAACGCTTCGCTAGTGCTCGCCATAGTAGGAAAGAAAAAGCTCTTACTTTGCTTTTTGGAATGCACGCTTCAAACAGACCGGTCAGTGAAGACGAAGAAGAGAATGATGTGCGCTACCGGCGCCTATTTTGTACTAGTCGCGACGGTAGTGACGTCATGGCTGTCGCCGGCCAAACAAGTTGGTGTTTTTTCAATGTAGGCTTCAGACACGGGTCACGACGAGGCGTTCCCCATAGCGACCCCTAGAGGACGCAGTTCGAAGTTCCACGAAAGGGAACTAAACAGCCCTGAGCATTTTTTAATAGATATGTCAATCTCACTGCCCTCCCTCTGAAAGTCAGTCGCATTTTCTCTAGTTCCCCACTCACCCTCACACAGTGCCTCAGATCTAGACCATAACCTGGAGGCCCACTTCTACATGCTCCCTAGAGAGATAACCTACTCCTGCAGTCTGCATACCTGCCCGTAAATACAAGCATGCCCATCGAAAATATATTCACCGGCAAGAACAACAAAAGCCTGTGGAAAAATGCCCCAGGACAGCAGTAAGTTATTAGAGCCACGCCATGTTCTTGCTGTCATTTTGTTGCCAAACACCAGCACAAATTTGACCCCGTTACGAAAAGCATCACAGCCAACAGATGCTTTTCACAATAACGTATTCAAATTAACTCAGTGAGTATGAAATATTAATATTCAGCAGCTAAACCCAAAAGTTATTGGCCCTGTTACATCGGAGATTGTTTTGTGCATCAACCAAAACACTCGATTTCTCAAATGCCTTGCAGTGTGTACCTTACCTCAGCCTGAAATCCTTCCACTAAGATAGCCACAAGCAGATTGAACAGAACATAGTTCCCAAAAGTCATGAGCGCAACGAAATACAGGGCAGCCAGGGGGGAGGTAGAGGCCATGCCATTATACAAAACCATGTTCCAGTCCTCTTGAGTTAGGATCTGCACAAAAACACACACAGACAAAAAAAAAACAAATCTAACTTTATATTACATTTTCATGGGAGCAAGTAAGTTGATAAATAAACAAACAAATAAATAATCATTAAATTGTAGATTTGTTGCATTTTTTTTCTTTTTTAATTTTTTATATATGATTTCATTGTATGTATTTTATTTTTATTTAATATTTTGTTTAATATAAGAAAAATATAAATAAGCATTTATATCTAATGCTTTCCATTTTTTCCCTATTTATTGTAATAAAATGGCCAATAAAATAAATAAATAAATACATGCATGCATACATAAATATTGAAATCATTATATTAAATTAATTCTATATTTTGTTCCTCACACATACACTTTTGTGCCCGAGTGGTAATAGCCTATAACAGATATGCTTTACTACAAAAATAAATAAATAAATAAACAAACAAATTCTATATTTTGTTATTTAGATATTTGTTCTTTTTTTATTATCTAAAAAAAGCCCACAAATATCTCATATTATGTATTTTTCTATCTTTTTATTTTAGATAACAAAACAGTCCAAATACATGCATATTTTTTCCCTCTTTTTATTGTATATAACAAAAGCCAAGGGGGAAAAATGAATGAATGCGTGTTTGATGATAAACTG